CTTCAGCTCTTCTGCCTTCAGGGTTTTTTTTTAAAGACTAATTCTAGCTCCTTCTGCTGACGGTGATCCAGGTTTCGTCCTTAGGTGTGGATACCAGCTCAGATCGGACCTCCTTGACCTGTCCCTTCAACTGGTGAAGTTTCAGCTGCCGCACCAATGTGCTGAGCAGGACAGTAGCTACAGTGTAGGCGAACCTGTTGGAGAAAACAAATATAATCAATCATGAAAATTTCATTGACATATGCAGGATTATTGCAACTCCCCAAAATAGAACATGCAAAGGCAAATTAGCTTCTTTTTATATCCCCAAGAACACTTGAAATGTCTATCTTTCTTTCTACAAACTGTTTGGAGATAAAGGCCGCACTGTGTGTCTACAGGTCTAATATATTTCCCAGTATCATTAGCTGTTGATTGGATTACATTCACTTCAGAGTTTTTGTGTTTTAATGTTAGTCTTTACCTGAGCTCTGGGCATGTTTGATTCCCTGAGAATCCAAGCAGACAGAAGCTCTTCCTGACTGATTCCTCCTCAAATCGATCCGGGTCAAACCTGAGGGACGTCACAGTAATCATCATGTCAGAAAGTGGACAAATCTAAACCTGAAATTACAACTCCACCCTGTGTTGTTGTCACACTATTGTAACTATTAACTCAATGCGTTCCTGGAGTTATTTTGTGTTGAAAAAAGTTTCATTTTAGCCACTCTACCCTCAACATGCTCTCAACAGAGATGAGAATGAAACAAGGTGGCTCCCTCTTTAGCTCCTTTCATCGTCAGCTCTGGGAAAAAAACATGCGTTCCGATTCATTATTTTATTTATTCTTAAACCTTTGGTGCCACTTTTGCTAACCCCAACCCGAACTGTGCTTGTAGATATGAGGTACATATAAGTCACCATACTATATACCTCTAAAGACTGCATCAAGAAGAACTTGTTTTGAACTCTTAATCGATACCTTTCTGAATTAAAACACATTTTTCCCGGAGCAGATGATGGAAGTAGCTAACGAGTGAGCCATCTTGTTACCTTCTTTTCCCTCTTGAGAGTTTCACAGAAACACTAGCTAATATTTATTTATTTACATCAGTCTTTATTTAGCAGATATTTTGCTAAAATTAGTTAAGGATGTGACTCAATATATGTCACATGTTTTAGACATCTTCAAATTTGGTTGTCTTTTCTATATAGACAAGTCTAGCACATAGCATATAGCATAGCATACAGGAAAGGAGAAAGTTGACAGAGGTTTGCTCAACTCTTTATGCCAACATTTGCTTATGTGTAAAACACAATGTACAGTAGATGCACATGGAAATGCTATTAGTGTTGGGTCCTGATGATGGCGGTAAAGAAGGAGTCAGAGATCACCCAAGTTTTGAGGTTACATAATCTAAGTAGCATGAATGTCTGTAAAAAAAAATGTCCATCCATAGTTCAGTCAGGACCAAAGTAATGGACAAACTGATTTCAGGATTTGAACCGGCAACCTTGTAGTCTAGATACCGCCTTGAAATGAATTGATGAACATGTAACATGTAAATGTAAAGCGGACCTGTATGGGGTGCTCCAGGTGTCAGAATCTTGCAGGACCACTCCCAAAGCGTAGATGACCAAAGTCTGAAATATAGCAAGAACACAATTTAAACAATGCTTTTGGAATATATCTATATCTCTATATATAT